GGGAGCCGGAGTCGCCGCCGCCCGAGCGCAGCCGAGCGCACGCCGAGCCCGATCGCCACCGCCATGGCCACCACGGTGACCTGCACCCGTTTCACCGACGAATACCAGCTCTACGAGGATATTGGCAAGTAAGAGCCTCGGCGCGCGCGCGGGCTGGCCGCAGACCCCGGGGAGCGGGGACCCCCGTCGCCGCGCGCACTGCGGGCCCCGCGCGCCCCCGGCTCCTCCCGCGAGCTGCGGGCCCAGGCGCACTGCCCCGTGCGGCCCCGACCCCCACGAGCCTCGGGTCCCGGGCCCCCGCTGCCCCACCGCAACGCGGACGGCCCTGCCGGGTGCCCTGGCTTGGCGGGGACCGATACTCGGGGATCTGGACTCGGCGCGGCGGGGGCGGCAGCAGGTGTCCCCCGAGCGCCGGGCAGACGTGACGCATTTGGCGGCGGGGAGGTCAGAGACAGGCGGCACGCGGGGGCGGCTGCCAGGCCTAGGGCGCCCGGGGGGGTTCGGCCGCGGCCCCAGGGGGTCGTCCCCCGAGTGTGGGCATGCTGTCCTCACCCCCACCCGAGAGGCGGGCAACAGCGGTGGCGGAGCCGCTCCGCGCCTGCTCCTCGCGTGGCCCCATCTGCTCTGGGGGAGCAGCGTGGGAGCAGCTTCTGCCTTCGGTCCCCTGGGGAATCTGGGTGCTGGAGGATTTTCCCCCGGATTCTTCTGGAAACAAGAATTTGGAGGGGGTGGACGAGGAGGTCAGGGAGCCAGGATCAGGCCATGGGGTGGGGGTGGGGTGGGGGTGGGGGGGTGAGAGAGTGAGGCAGGGAACCAGTTGGGCCTCTGAATTCAGGGTCATCGAGGCAGACGGAGTCTGGCTTCTGGACACCCCCCCCCTCCTGTGGTGGGAGGGCTGGGGGAGGACTCTGAAGGCGAGTTTCGGGTAGGGCCTCGTGGGGGAACAGGTGCCCTGGAGCCAAGATGCTGCTCCGCAGCACAAGCCATATTGGGGGTGAAGTCCTGGCTTTGTCCCTGGGGTTGCAGAAACAGCCAAGCCCCCAGGGGCCTGGGGCTTCCCTCTGGGACTTAAGGTGGCTGCAGGGGCTTCCTTAGATGCCGGCTACATGACTCCAGAGCTGGGACCTCCTTCCCACTCGCTCTCCCCTCCCCCACCCCTCTTGTGCCGTGGGGGCGCTGGCGAGATTTCCTCTTACACATCCAGCCGCAAATCCTTTTTCCCCCCCTCTCCTTTTACTAAAAAAGCGTCTGAACGCTTGTGGTGGGCGAGGGACGCTGATCATTGATAATTGTGGAGTGCCCAGCGGGAGGAGTGTGGGGGTGTGAGCGTTCCCCACTTCTTCCTGCACGTGCCAAGAGGATTTGGGTCAGGCCTTGGGGGGCAGGGGTGAGAAGCCAAGTGGAGTGACAGGAGGGAGCCGATGCTGGATGGCAAGGAACAAGGCTGGGTGGACCCGGATGGCCACCTGAGCCCCGGAGAGCCCAGCACCCTTTCCTCAGCCCCGTGTCTCAAGCTTGCAGTCACTGAAGAAGCTTCCAGTAGCCGGTGAGGCTGTGCTCTGCGAGGAAGAGGTGATGGGCTGGCAGGCCTCAGGTGGGGCTGAGGCAGCATTGAGGTTATGGGGGGCCAGCCCTTCAGTTCTCAGACCCTCTGATGCCCTGAAGCGAGCTCTTCGGAGCCAGTTGCTCATCGCCACGGCTGTGCCCTGTGCTGCTGGGGCAGGTGGGCAGCAGTGAAAACCGAGCAGTCGTGAGTCTCCCCTGCCTGGGGAACCTTCTTGTCATCTCCTGTGTGCCCAGGAGCCCCTATCCCCGCCCTGGGCCTCAGGGTAGCTTCCAGGCAGTCCATGTCAAGAGACCATAACCGACAGATCACCTGGACTTGCTTCCCCACCTTGGTGTGAGCCAGCCTGCGCTGAGCAGCAGAATAAGGTGGCCACTGTCACCCCCGCTGGGGAGTGGAGGCTGGAGAATGACATTTGCGGTAGATGCAGGTGAGGGCTGAGTGGCTGCCAGCTCTTCCCTAGGTAAAAAGGAGTGAGCCCTCACCCAGGTGTGGAGAGGAGGCATGGGTGTGAGGATGGGGCCCCAGGCCTGGTGTGGAGGGCCCCTCTAGTCAGCATTATCTCTGTGGAGACCGCTAGGTGCCAGGCCTAGGGATGGGCAGGGAGGGGGATGAGGGGATGGTACCTTCAGGATGAGCAGGGGAAGGGGGGGACACACACCTCACACCCCCCCACCGCCCGCCCCCAGTAGCCATGTTGGTTAGTTGTTGACGGTGCCTGCCTGCGGCACAGCTGGTGCTGCTTCAGAGCCCCAGGTAGACCGTCCAAGTTTATTTAAAGCTGTAGTCCTTGGCACCCCGTCAGAAGATGCTGAATCCCCTGCCTGGCTGAAGGGCTGCTCCCCAGCCCACAGCTGCTCCTGGTTGTCTGGTGGCAGCTCTGGGCTTTCCCCTCCCTTCCCGGCTCTCTCCTGTCCAGCTCTCTCCTTCCTCAGGCCTGGGCAGCAGGTGAGCTGGCAGAAAAGAATGGCTCTCTGGGGCCTGGCCTATGAGGCACCTCAGTGTGTGTTCTCTGCAGCTAATTCTTGCCTGGGGGGTTCATATGCTGGGTTGCAGATCCACCATGAGCCCAGGGTCCCCGAAGCAAGCATGGTGCAAAGGGGGAACCTTCAGTCCACATGGGCCAGCTTTAGCGTGGTTTAAATCGTTTCGTATTGGATGTGCAATTTAAAAGCTCAGAAACCCCAGGAACAATAACCACTGGTGTCTCCTCTACCCAGAACTAAAAATTATTCATCATTTTGTCTTTAAGTCCTGTCTTAAAAATAATAACAAGCAATGAATTACAAGTAAATATTAAACAGCCCATTTTCTTCTGCCTGGGCATAAGCGCTCCCATTCTTCACCGCATTCGCGTGGATGCAAGGATCTTATAACTTTGTAAAGATCCAGAACGAGATCCAGAACGTGTGTTCTCAGTCAGGATCGTCTTGCTGACATATGTGGCACTGATGGGCAGTGGCCGTGGCTGCCACGTGGCGATCGTGGTGTGAGTGCCGCGTGTCACCTGTTCTGCTCCTCGTGGAAATCTAGGCTGCCTCCTGTTCCTTCTCTCTCGTCACATGACCAACGCTGTGCGCAGTTTTGATGGTGCAAGGGTGAGAGTCACTTTGGTGTTTGTGCCTGGTGGTAGGGTTCCTGGTGAGGCTTTACAGTCCCCTGCCATGCCCACTTCCACTGTAGGAGCCCGATGCACCCACCCTGCCTTTGGCAGGTACAAGATAACGGGTAGAAAGTGATCACAAGTTCTGGAAGAATGCATGTGAATTTTCCGCTTTTAGAGAGTGGCTGTCTCGTTAAAATATAGGTAGTCTCCCTAGAGAGAAGCACTTTCATAAGTTTTGGATATAATTTGGGGGTTCATGGACACTCCTACTTTGGAGGAGAGGGCGTGGGAGCCTCAGACTTTCGCTTAGTTCCTGTTTAATGGTATTTTTATAGCAACGACTGTGGTTGCTCACTACTTTTCCAATCTTGGGCTATGGAGACCACCCTTGACCTTCAACCCAGAGAACTCCCACCATTCTTGATGACCCCTCCCCATAAGCCCAGAACTGACCTTAATGTGTCCTTGACTCCATCTCCCGTCCCCAGTCAGCATTCTGGGCAGACTGGCATGCTTGTGTGCCACCCACCCTCTGGGATCATTGCTGTCCGCTGTTGGTGGTTCTTCTGACTGGCCCGCTGGGTAGTTAATACATTTAGAACATTCAGAGCAGGCCAGTTTTAGACTCTAACTTTTCCTGGGATTGGGCTTGCCGTTGGGTTTGCTTTCTCCTTCCTGCCCTGGAGGATTCCAGGTTCTTTCTGCCTCAGGGCCTTTGCTAGGGCTGTCCCCCATCTCCTTGTCCCCACCTGCACTGCCTACAGTGCCTTGCATTGTCTTGTGCCCCCTCGGCCTGGACTAGTTGCTCACAGGAGAGCAGGGTCCGGGACCCCTGCCTGGGGTCTGAGTCTCAGGGCTTGTCCAGAGTGGGTTTCACATCACCGGAGGGGAAGGGGTAAGTGGACCTCTGGCCTTTGCCTGGTGGCTTGCTCTCCAGAATGAGCCCTGGTCTTGATTCTCTAATATAGGGTAATTTAAAAAGAAATCGCACATGCTGGCTTTGCTGGCAAGATGCGCATTAAGGTGACGCTAGTTTAGTTACTATTTAATGGTATTTTTATACCATAACCTACTTTGCTGGGAGCTAAGAATACATCTGCATGCCTGCTGCTGGACGCTGTTCTGGTGACAGTCGCTAGCACTTCGGTGGTGCCTGTTCCATTAGCATGCTGGGTCTGTGGGGCAGGTACTGTGGTCACTTCTGGTTTGCAGGGGAGTACTGGAGGGGCACAGAGAAGCTCCCTAACTTAGCAAAGGCCACACTTTCCACCAGGGACTTTGTTCTGGAATCCAGTTCTGCTGGTTGGAGCTGACGAGGCTGCCCTGTTCTGTGCTTTGGAAGTATTATCACTCGGCTGACAGACTTGGCTACCTCGAAGTCTCCTCGGACCCCAGGCTTCTGAGGACCATGCCTGTCCTCCAGCCAGTGGCTTGTCACATCGTCTTCGTGCAGTTCCAAACCTAGGGCCACATCCACATTCCCTTCGTGAAAATGTCACTTCTTTTTATCACCTCTCTCCTTGACAACCAACACTCTGACCCCATTTGAGACCAGCAGGACTTAACATTTTATTTTATTCATTAACCAAACTAGGCTAATATCGCCTTGTTATTTTTTTTTTTAAATCAAGCAGTACAGACTTATAGGCAGTAAAATGTGATTCTTTGCTTTCACCCCCTAGCACGTGTGTGGTTTGGAAACAGGCAGGCTTGCCCTGTATGTGGCCCTATTATTTGCTCAACCTGACATTTCTACACAGCAACTCCTCCTGTCAGAATGTCAGCCTCTCCATGATTGTGCGTGTGCAGGAGCACATGGAGGCCAGAAGTCACGTGTCTCCCTCAGTCATCCGCCACCCAGGGTCTCGTCGGGGCAAGACTTAATAAAGCCTTAGGGACCTTCTTGTCCTGGAGGACCAAACCTGAGTTTTTCCACGGACGCTGGGGAGCTAACCTCA